ATGATGATCGACAGGTGATGGGCCGTGACTAGAACAGCTGTTAGTGTACGATTATCCAGCTATGGAAAGAGTCCTCACTTGTTCCGGCAACAGTAGGGCCACACTTCTTGACAGCCTCAACCGCAGCGGCGGTGGTGCAGTGCTCGAGAATGATCCTCAGCTTGGGAAATTTCTCGTGCAGCTGGAGCAGGGTTGGCAGGAAGCGCTCCTCTGCTGTCAAAACGGTCACATCACCCTTGGATGGGACTTCACCGTGCAGGTTGAGGATCATATCCTGACGCTCCATCTCAGCGAAGACGGGGTAGAACTGAGTGTAGTCGATGACGCCCGAGGAGGAGTTAGTAGTGACACCGGCCGGGTAACTCTTGACGCCAGTGATGCCGCGCTTCTTGGCATCGATGATGGTCTCCGGGGTGATAGTCTCATGGAGATACAGAGACATGAGATAGTTCACATTGGGCTCAATGGCCTGCAGACGCTGCTTGTACTCAAGCGCGCGGTCAACGGTGGTCACGGGAGGGACCAAGTTCGGCTGGTGAAAGACATCCAAGTTACTATATTGTCCCAATTGCAATGCAGCAGCTCCACCAACCACATATAAATATGGTCAGAAGGTCAAAGCGGTATAGAGTGTTGAATTTACCATAACAAAAACGGTGTTGACACCACCCTGTCTAATAGTAGGAGTAACAAGCTCCATCATATCACCATCGCGAAGATGCACTTAACTCCACCAATATCAATTAGCCAAATCGAAACAACCCCCTCAACATCGGGCACAATTGGCAATCATCCAAATAAAAAATAGTACGCACCATGAAAGTCCGCGGAAGCGGGGAGCTTCACGCCCTGCAGCTTGGAGAGAGGCATTCTTTTTCCCGAACTATAGTAGAACTTTGAGTACCGAGGTATAACCAAATTAGGTCTGAAGATTCGAGGAAACAGCATGAACCCAATACTGAATCCAATCAATGATGTATAATAATAGTCAATAACTGGGGGAAATCAACTACGTACAAGAAATTCCCATGGGCCGGTTTTTCCCCGCCAATTTTTTGTCGCGGGGGAATTTGGGATCCATGACCGCCTTGCTTGTGATTGGTTGGTGTGGGGTGTGGGCATGTGATGTCACGGGGGTGTCCGCGGTGGTTGACATCCTGGCGCTTACTACTTCTGGGTAAATAAGGAGGGAACCTTCTACATCGCGTCGCTCCGAAAGGCTCGGGATGTGGAGGGTATCTTACAATGATACAGGCGGATTTCGAGGTTATCGTGTGCTATGGACTAATGAACAGCCGTTACACTCATCGTAACTTAGTGTTCTGATTACTGGGAGCTAATACTCCCTCGCTTACCGTCAAATGATTACGGCCTTGATCACTGTGGAGAAACAGACTCTACATCTACTTACATTGAGTTATTTGCTTACCCTCCAGGACTACAGTTCATCCGCCTACTTACAACCAATGGCAAAAGCTTCGGTTTTGAGAAAATCACGCACAAGTCGTATTCAAAAGAGTGCTATCATTCTTAACTTGGAAGCTTTATCACGAAACACACAGTGCCTTCAATCTCTCGAGACTCACCACATCATTCTGTCATCTCCTGTGGCATCTATATCAGAGCACACCTAGAATTGGCCTCCAGTAGGCTGGCTACCGCTGGGCTGACCACCACTAGGCTGGCTGCCACCAGACTGACCACCACCGGGAGTGGAAGAGTCGTCATCAACAGCAACACCACCGCTGGAGGTGTAGACGAAGCTGTAGTTAGGGTCATAGGTGGCAGACACATTGACAGCGACAGTCACCCACCCGAAGAGACCATCGTCCAAGCTGTCTCCAAGATAGACGTAGTTCAAGACAGGGTCAGAGTCGGAGTTTTCAGTCTCGTCGGAGAAGACGCGGTCCTCTGCGTTGGTGGTGAGCGTAACGGTGTTGGTGTTGTAAGGGTAAGTAGCCTCCACATCGTTGATGAGATCCTGATCCCAGAAAAGCTGACCAATATGCGCAACAGTGCCGCCAGTAATGGTGTTGTTGTCAAGCACAGTCACATCCAGGTGGGCAACCATGTGATGATGGGTGGTACGGCCGGAGTAGTGGCCCGGGAAGAGAGACTCGAAGGTGACAACACCGTCAGAGTCAGTCTTCTGGATACCACGGAGGAAGGTGGCGTTCAGGTTGGAAGTGTCATCGGTGTTTCCGTTGCCGTTGGCGACAAGGCCGGAGTAGACACCGGTGGCATTGCAGTTCCAGATATCCCAGTACAGGTCGGTGATTGGCTCGCAGGTCTCAACGTTGATGAACTGGCCTTCAATCACCACGGGGACACCTGACTGGTCTTCGCGGACGTCCGACCGAATGTACTCGCCAGGGACATAGTAGGGACCAGTCTCACCCTCTGGGTTCAGAATGCAGGTACTGGTATTGGCAAAGACCTCGCTGGCGGAGGAGTCGGGTGTGATATCAGAACCGGTCACCAGATGGGACTTGTTGAGAACCGAGTCAGTATCTCGCCCAGCAAGGCGCCTCCGGTGGAGGTCCACCAAGGCCCTACGGCGAGCCTCGGCACGAGCATTAAGACCACTGCGCTCGAACTTGGAAGCACAATTCTCCAAGCCACGACGCATGTTGGCTTTAAAATCCAGGAGGTCAGAGTTGGCGCGCTTCTCTTGGTGGCCGGGATGGGCAGTGGCAAGAACTGCACATCCTACCGCGGCCAACTTGACAACGCTCTGGACATGCATTTTGAGGGGGCTTAAAAGATGAAGTTCAAAAGATTTGGACAAGGAACAGGCGATATTTGCAGGGGGTGGAAGCTAGAGAGGCTTTGAAGAGACTGCTTTCTGCTGGATGTCTCCCTCAGATGCCTCCCGGATGAAGAGCCTTTATATGCTGCTCCCTCCATCATGAGCGTCAATATCAAAGTGCGCGTTGCCGATGTACTGTGCAGTCCATACCAATCTGGGCGCGGACGATTTTGCCATTGCGCGGAGTCTGTTCCCTTGCCGAAGCGATACCAACCTCCAAAGACAAGTAACTGTCGTCAGCAGTGGGTAGAATCAATGACGAGCGTGTACTAATCCCTGCTTGCTCTATCCAATGTTGCCGGCCAAAAATGAGCGAAAGCGTGCTCAAGTGATGAATCTACTTGCTAGGAAGGAAGATGACGAATCCCTCCCACCGGCCAAGACCATCGGCCGCGGGAACGCTGCGATGAAGCTCGCTCGCCAAGACCGCCTAATGATGTCCCTCAAGAGTCCAACACCCCAGACGCCGCGTGTAATTACTATCCAGAAGCCACTGATTGGCTTGGCTTTGAGGAAAACTGCGATGATCTGCACATCAGGGCTTAATGTTCATCCGGTATCAATCAGCACAAACGTGATTCGCGACAAATTGGTGGCTTTAGCTCGTGGTCCTGGCCCAGGCGTGCTGAGTACCTACGGAGCAATACCCGTAGGCTTGGCGAAGCCAAGGCCTGTTTACAGCCCTAGGTCCAGACTGGCTGTGAGTCGCGCTGTCTGGTAGGAATTTCGGGCCCCAAGGACCCCATGATCCCGCTGCAATTATCCCGCTGCCCACTCTCAGAGAAGTGTGCGTGTTTCAATTATATGGTGGCTTGTGGGGACCCCAGATGAGTCTTCCACAGAGACCGGAAGGATACTCTGAAATCGCTTGTTCTCGGATGGTCGGCTTCACTTCGCCGTAGGCAAAAAACTAAGAGGAGACATGTGCTGGCTGAATATGCCGAAGGGAAGATTGCAGTGCTGATCGCTCGCCTAGCCAAGAGCTGCACAATCAAGCTCCGCCTTGGAACAGTCGTAGACGTTATTGTAAGAGGTGGGATATGAAGTCTATGACCCATTCAGAGTGTGTATACAGGTCCCGTGCCACGGCTTCATCGCGCTTCTTTGGGGTGATGATCGACACCTGTATAACAAATACACGTCTCTGAGGTGGATGGCATCTGCCTCATTTGATCCCGACCATTGTGGATGCTCTCTAGTGATGGGAAATCTACAAGCTGCATACCCAAGAAAGCTGGACAAACAGACGGTGCGGAGAATGTCCCATTAGGGCAATTCTCAGAGCGGAGTCTAGACCTCCAACAGACCAACAGGAACAACAGAATGTGGAGAACATGCAGAGAAATCTCCGCGCATGAGCAAATGATGTTATTGAGCCTGATGTGTAGTCAAGTCTGGGGATTGAGTTGCGTGCACTCTGAGAGATCGAGGCATAGCAGTATCACAGCAAGGCATGCGCTTCCAGAGAGAATACATTGCCCCAACGGGCCTCTGGCATTGGTGGAATCATCAAAGCCACAGGATGCAGTGACGGCAACCGATCCACGTGAAAGCTGCAGTCCTTTGGCCTGGATTAATTTTATGTTCAACCCTCCCATACTAGAAGGGGCGCAGGCCCCAATTTTCAACTCATCCTCGAGGATAGAATGAGTGGTGCAGGAATGTACCATCGATAGGACCGGGAGCTATCATGCTCATCAGCAGATGTCTCCTTTTGATCCATGATGTTCGACACAAATGAGTGGCGTTTCAAACCGGGCTTATTCACACCAATAGAACTGGAAGCGACGGACGTGTTACACAGAAGCCGAGTGCCTTTGTCCCAGTCCAAGTCATCCATTCGCGCTGCTCGATGCACCGACCTCTTCTAAGCGCCGAAGGAGACAAGGCTGCATCAAGTCAGTTTGAAGGATTCCTGCGTCTTCGCGCTCATGCAGGAGACAGCAAATAGGCGCGGCGCATTTCCCATGGGCGGCTATTAGGCTTTCATGGCTGAAGGGCTCTCGTGAAGATATTTCACCTATTCGCGCTTTGTGTGAGACCATTATTATTTTTGGCAGCCGAAGAATGCTGCAGAAGTTAAGATGGGTTATTCATTGCTTGCATAAGTAGTTGATGTCTGCAGGTTTTCTCGTCAGGGTCTTTTCAATCTTGTTTGTACACTACCTTCCTTACCGTCTATAGCTTCAATTCGTTCCACTCCTTCTCCCATAGATACCCTTCCCTCTTTCAATTCAACCTCCTATTCAGCCTTCTGGCAAGGCTCCTCTTCTCTACACTTCTCTATTCCCCATCACTCACCCACCCCATAAAAAAACAAAAGAAAAAAGATACACCATGGACCGCAGCCTCTCCACCGAATCCACCATAACCACCACCATAACCTCAACCGCCTCCATCGAAGAAGAATCCAAATTCCTCACCCGCACCCAACACCTCCGACACACGCGCCTAGCCCTCGCCATCCTCACCTTCCTAACCACCATCCCAACAATCGCCTGCGAAGCCATCGCCCTCCACCACTACCGCCAAACCTCCCCATACGCACGAGTCTGGCTCAACCTCTGGCCTCTGAACTTAGATCTCAGACCCACCATCGCCCTACTCGCCTGCGGCTGCGTGATAGCATTCCAGAACTTGCTTTACATCGTTACAGCCGTTGTTCCCTCCGTGAGTTCCCATACACCAACATCCATATCCAAAGTGATACTGATATTGAAACAGCCCCGCCCCCACATCCGCCTCCTCAACCTCCTCGCCGCAGCAACCGCCCTATCGGGCTTCATCGCCGCGCTCGTGGGCCTCATATTCGTGATATACCAGCCCGGAGCGAAGCATCCGAGCGGGTTCAGTGAGATGGAGACGCTGCATTCGTGGACGTGTAAGTGGGGGGTTGTGAGGGATGGATATGATTCTGTGAGTAGTAGTGGGAATAGCACTATTAGTGCTAGAGCTAGCGGTAGTTATAATGTCACGGCGGGGGATGTTACAGCGCCGGTGCATTTCAAGCGCGATTGTGATGTCACAAGCGCTGGGTTTGTCTTGCTTTGTGTGTTGCTGGGGTTGGAGGTTGTTATGGGGGTGGTGGTTGGCGTAGGGGTTTGGGTTGAGAGGAAGGTTGGGGGGTTGAGGGGGAGGATTGGTGGGGGGTTGGAGGGTATTGCGGGTGGAATGGGGGCAGGAGGGATGAAGGGAGAGAGTAAGGTTTCTGTGGGGGGTGTGGAGAAGTATCCTGGGACTTGATTGAGGTGAGGTGATGGGGTGGGCTGGGTTGGGTTGGTTGGATTGGGTGTGATGTTGGTGTTGGTGGATGTGTTGTGGGAGTAATAGGTAAATTGATATAGTCATGATAGGGTATTCACTAGATTCCTGAATGTAATGTAAGGCTGGGGCGTTACAGCTTCGCTTCTCCCTTCCCTTTGCTACTGTCCTTCCTCACTCCCTCGTCGTCCTGCTCTGCGACTTCTAGCACGGGCATCTCTTTCGGCATCATGCGTCTTGGATTGCTTCCGGGGATGACCGAGTACTTGGAAAAGTCGGTCACCCCGCAGTAGTCACGTAGGAAGTCCTCATCAAGAGCTAGGAGTCCGTTTACGATGTGTGCTGGGGTGTTTAAGATCCCGAGAATCGCGTCAGAGAAGATTGTCTGCGTTTGTTAGTATCTATCACAAAGGAACGTGTATGATAATAGGAACCTACCGGCTTCCTCAAATCAGCCTTTCGCGAATCCCCATTATTCGCAGGGTTCATCTCCGTTGCTGCGCTTTCAACAGCCTAGTGATATAATCGTTAGCAAGCCACAGGTCAAAGCAGGGTAGTCAACATACCGCAGCAGGCCAAATACTGGTAATAGCCATATCCGACTTGCCCTCTCTCACCCAATCCATAGCCAAGCCACGAGTGAGCACACTCATCCCGACCTTGCCTGTGTATTGTCAGCACTACCCAGAACCCTATATCTCAACCCAAAGACTCACCCATAGCATAAGCCGTCTTTCCCCTGAAAAACCTCGAATAAATCGGCGGCGAGACCACCACAATTCTCCCCTTCCACCCGTTCTTCTCAATGACCGGCAACGCCGCCATGATTGTCGCATACAGACCCTCCGGATTAACCCGCTGCATCAGCTGGAACCTCTTGAGAGGCGTATTGGCAACAGACGACCACCATATCGCACCAGAATTGTAGACCAGAACATCCAGCCGACCACCGCTAATCCGTACAGTCTCGTTCACCAGGTTATCGACCTGGGTGGGGTCGCGCACATCGACTTGGATGGGGTGGGCGGTGCCACCAGCGAGGGTGATTTCGTGGGCGACGGTGTGGATGGTGGAGGCGGGGGAGTTAGGGTCTGGTGGGAAGGATGCTGTGGGATCTGGCGAGGTGGCGGATTTGGCGGCTATGATTACTTTATCAAGCCATTACTTGTTAGCGAGGATACATGTTAAGTATGGGCATGGAGAAACCTTGTCTGGCATACCGGTGTATCCGTTCTTCGCGAGGTCGATAGCAATCTGGCGGCCAATGCCTCGAGAGGCGCCCACGACTAGGGCGACGGGGTTGGGAGACCGAGTAGTCATGATGGCAGTCAATTGAATAAACCAAGCTTTGTGTATTAAAAATAGCTAGATATTATTCAAAGGCACCTCGAGACGCCGTGGGTTGATATAGAGGTCCAGGTTCGGTCATCCTCGGTAGATGGAATGATTAGTAGTCATTTGGCCGAGCGCGCGGCTCGGCCCGTTGACAGAGGGTTTAGTATGGAGATGAGGGGTTCATGGGACAGCTTTATGCCCTGCCGTTTATTGGAGGCATGGGTGATTCTGACACAACGTGTAAGTAAGTTTTGTTGTTGAATTGCTGGAAGGTGTTGTAGAAGGGCATCCACAGTTTCTCCTTATCGCAGCAACCTCGGCGTTATCACTGCATCTCCATCGCCGCATCCTGGCTCCGATTGGCTGTATTTATTACATAATCAACTATCGTATCCTTCACCGCCCTGGCAGAATCTCGCGTCTTTCGCAGCGTTTCACTTTTCCACTTCATCAACAGGCATATACATCACAGTTATCTATCAGAATGCCACCAGACATGGGTTCTCCCGCCGCCGAGCTTGATCTGGATGACGAGCAGTATGACTCCGCCGAAGACGAGGACTTCCAGCTCGACGCAGCCCAAGATGACGCCGACTCGGGCATGTCCGATTCCGACGAAGAGGAGGCTGTCGACGAGACAGCGCCCAAGCGACGAAAGAAGGATGCTAAGGATGCTGCTCAAGCAGCCGGTGATGACGACGAACTGGCGTCTGGGGATGAGGCGATGATTCAGAAGGCAAAGAATAAGAAGAGGAAGAAGGGAGATGAGGACGTGGATGTGGATCTTGATGATGATGAGGAAGGGGGAACAGGAGGTTTCGTGCGGACGCGCGCGATGAAGATGCGAATGTACGTGGTGTCTATTTATCTGACAGTCTACTAGATCTGGGATTATACTGACGCGATACTGCTACAGCGGAGAAGAGCGCAAACCGCTCGCGAAGATCGACGGCGCTACGGTTGATGTGGATGCATTATGGGCGAAGATGAACGCTCCAGACTCGGGAGTAGATGGTTCTTCGGCACAGGATGAGAGCAAAGATGCTACGCCTGCGGCTGGACAGAACGACGGAGAAGCGGCAGGAGGTGACGATGCGACTCCTTCGGCACAGGAACCCCAGACGAACTATACCGAAGAAATGGTGAAGATCAAGCGCATGTACAAGTTTGCCGGAGAGATGATTACGGAAGAGAAAATTGTGCCGAAGGATTCAGCGGAGGCTAGGCTATTCCTGGCGGGCGAGAAGGATGCGGAGACCGTCACTGCTGCAGATGTCGACCACGCCGCGAACGCCAAAGACGCCCTTAAACTGCGCAGACCTCTTCGACGACCCTCCCGCTTCGACCCGAATCCGACCGGCACGATCAAGAAGAGCTGGGAGAAACAGCCCGTTACGGAGGCGACGGCTGGACAGGAGAACGCCCGGGGACCGAAGATCAACACGGTCGAGAAATCGCGTCTGGACTGGGCCGCATACGTGGACCAGGCTGGAATCAAGGACGAGCTCAACGTGCACAGCAAAGCGAAGGAGGGTTTCCTGGGTCGCATGGATTTCTTGGACCGTGTGGGGGCCAAGATAGACGAGGAGAGAAGAAATGCTCGTCTGAAGGGGCTTTGAACTGCTTCAGTTTCAGTTTCCTCTTTTCTTTTGGCTTCTCGACTGCCTCTCGGCACTGGCCAACTCTTTGTCCGAATCCCTCCCATGCAGGTGCGGAGCAATGCCAGAATCTTCAGCACTGGATTCATTGTCCCCAGGCTTCAACTTTCTCGACTGGCCACGTTTCCCAGTCTGCAAGCCGGGCTGGCTACATGTCGCAATCCGCACCGAAGACCGATGCGTTGTATATTAGCTATCATCCATAACTGGAGGTAGTGCCAGACACGTGCTTCCGGCTCGATCCACCGGGCTCAACTCATCTCCGCACTATGCGGTTCGCTTACGCGGATGGATGCTGCTGGTTGGATGGCGTATATTGCCTATGCATCGCACTAGTATGGCTGGCGTAAGTGCCAGCTAAGTCGATGTTATGACTTATGACATGTGAATTTGGAGATGTACGATATTTTTAGGATGGTAATATTTCTTGATCCAATAGAATGATATTGGTTGCACACGCTGTATAGCTAGTTACATAGTACTTTAATTTATCCCTTCATGTAATAAAAGTAGTAAGGGAGAAAATGAAACAACCTAAAATAACATTCCTCCATTGGAGCCTCGAATAGTCATTTGAAGCTCCTCAAATCGATACTCTGCTAACATCCTTCGGAACTTGGTAGTTTCCTGCGTACCCAGCTGTACTCGAGGAGAATGTATGATCTTAACAATCCCCCATAACCCGAGTGTCTACGGTATCAGTAAGTGGGATTTTATCAGCGCCATGCAAGCATTCTGAAAACTCATCCCACTCCGCAGAAACCCCTACTTGTCCTTCTACCAGCCCCGGTTAGTACGGCACTGATGTACACTTCTTCTCCAGGGAAGTAAGTCCACACTATGCCCCTTTACCTTCTAGAGTAAGACCTGGTCTCGCAGACATTTCAGCATGAGTTGCAACAGTAGTGCATTTTTCACCTCGATCTGCTATGCCCCATGCTCATTCTCTTCTCATGGATGTGACCATGGCATCTGTAGCATGTCTTTACAACAGTCTGAAGCTCGATAGTCGTATCATCAGCACCGCTGATAACTACACCAGCATCCTTCTTGTCCACACAGCTTTCTGTATGGAACTTTCTCATAAGTCACTTTATCGCATATCAACTCTTGGCTTCGCTCAATGCTCGGATAAATGCTGCAGTTAGCTGCAGATGTGAAGTGTCTTAACGGCTCTGGGACCGTGTATAGCTGGTTGCAGTGGGTACAGCCATGAAGGAGGCAGGCATCTTCTGAGTGAGGAGATGCTGGAATATCATGTCGTGCATAGGTTCCTAGTCAAAGTCCCGGAAAGATTTCTGATAATATCTGTAGTAACGGAATCGAACTTTTAGGCTTAGAAGAAGCTGTTTCTTCTTGATTTGTAGATGCCTCTCTGCTGAAAGACGGATTTTGGAGACTAGTATGTATCAATCCAAGGCTAGATTGAATTGTGCAGATAACTGGCACACGTCTATTTTACTTTCCAGAATCATCATCTGCGTAGTTTGATTCAGCCTGCAAACACCAATCCGGGTTCATCCCATCAATCTTTTCCTCATGCCGTCGCAGAGGTATTGATGACTTAAGGATACCTTCGACCAGCCTGCAATGGACATGTAGTCCACGTAGGTTTAAGCCCGTCACAGCATTTCCATAGTATCTCAACAACGATCATATTTATAAGAGGAGTGATGGATTCCATCTTTCCGCAATGCGATAGAAAAAAGAATGCCTGCTGTACGATCCAAGTTCCTTTATCAGTTGGTTTTGTCCATGTCTTTCATAAGCCTCTCCAGGCCAATCCCTAGAAACTGTGCATTGGCATTAGCTACGAGAAAGAACACATAGGCCAGATCATCTCTCTGTCATTCTCTTCAGTAACTCTCACCAAGTTCGTCGCTGATAGGAAGGTTACCCTCCAACTTTCTCAGATCCATGGGGTGAAAGGAAAGAAGAGAAGTTTGATCCCGTGTTTGAACCTGCAGCGCTACTTTGCTCATTATAGCGATGATTGACCATTCGGAAACCGCATGGTCTCTGTATGTGGACATAACTGACGGTTAGCTTTCCCACCTGAGCATATTAAAGATAATGCCTAGTTGCCATATCGTGCTGAAAATGACGAAGTTCCAAAAGCTGTCGGGGGCGGCGGCAGCGCTTTGGTTCGGCAATGTTATCGCCAGCTCTCATTTGACAAGTACGGCCAGTCAGAACAAGCAAAGAAGAAGAGACGTACCAGATAGACAATCACAGCGATAACGGGAAACTGTGAGAGGATGGCCAGCTTCTCTGGTGCTTTGGTAAGTATCTTTCTCAGTCCCGAGACTGCTAATAAGCACCCCAAGATATTGCCAGTGTGTCGAACCTTCCAGCAATATATTAATATCATTAGCCCACTGGCTGTCTTCTAGAGGAGGGATGATTCATTCATCCCCATACATGGCGCAGTTATGGTGATATTCTCAAAACTGATATTGTTCTACTTTGCATGTCAGATAAGACCAGGGAATATAGCACAGACACAAACTACACGAGTCATACTCGCGGGTTCGGCTTTAAATACCGCTTTATTTCTGACTTCCAAGGTACTCTTCTTCAATAGCTGTATGCGCTTCTTCCGGAGCTCTCCTAGTAACTGGTAATCTGGCTCTTCAAGCGGGCTGTCGACGCCCTTCATGTGCTTCAACGGGGGTTTCAGGCATGGTTACCCGAACCACATTCGCGGTGCATTTGAGGAAGTTGGTTGCTTGGAAGAAGTCACAGAGCCTGCCCAAAGTTAAATCAGGAATATCTACCTAAGATTTATTAGAAGCCGTCTTAAACTGCTTCCCGAGCTCTCCAAAGTACTCATGGTTTAAGTATGCTGTGGCCGGGTTGATGGTCCACTCCAGTATCTCTGTGAGCTTCATAAATATTTAAATATTATAAGGAGAGAAGGGGCAGGGGATAGCAGAGAGAAACCAATATGCGGGTCGCCAGCATGCCTTCACCTTCAACTTGTCAAGAATATAGACAATGGAACTTCTGTCACCAAAGAAACACTCGTCACGGAATGTCCGCGCGATGGGGATACTATAAATAGTGATTTTGTGTAGCTGACCTTTCAGCCTAGTCTTGGACAAACTGTGCCGCAGATGGACCTCACAACTTTTGACCATCAGTAAGCTGGCGAGCATGATCAGCAGCTCCAGCTGCAGGTCACGCGTGATCATCTCTCACTCCTTCTTGTCAGCTAGGGTGATTTTGCCAGACTGCCAGGCAATACTTAGCTCAAGCCAGGTCTTTAGAAGAAGATGTTTAGGCAGGATAAAGGCTTCATGATGATTTCCATCCTTCCACTTGTCAAACTTCTTGTCAAACTTCTGAATATTCATACTCTTGAAGATAGACCTGTAACACATGACAAATTCTATTTCTTTAATCAGAGCATAAATGAGATCCACGAACTTTTCCCATTTACTTACCCAATTACCAATGAGTGCCTTGTTAACAAAGATATAGATCACGCCTGGCTGGAGTTTTGCAAGCATGTGGTTGGGAGCAGTGGGGCGACAAAACCGCCTCTTTGATGAGTGGTCGTCTCTTTATAGAGTAACCAGGTGGCTCCGTACAATTGGTACAGGTAGAGAGCTCGGTCTTTCTGGATTCCTGCAATGGGAATTTTGCACTGCGGGTTCAGAATTATCGCATTAAAACCCATTTTATGCTATCTGATGATTAGCCAGGGGCATATAGATAAACCAGGTAGTTGGCAGGTATACCTGCTCCGAGAGTTTGTTCCACCCCCATCATTCAGTGATACTTTTGTCTGGTGATTCTCCCTGGTTCGGCTGTAGAAGCCTTTAACGCTGTCTTGCCCTCCACATGCGGGGCGAACACAGGACACCCATTCGTGGTGTCTAACCGATCCAAGATGATCCGAGTATAAGTTTTCGCAGGCGTCCCATGTGTCAATGGGCGTGCTTCGCCTGCTCCTTGTCGATATAAAGTAATCTTCGACTCAGAATTTGGCAACACGGGGCCCTAGACAATCTGTATTTGGTTCCATGATAGAGCCAATGGGGTGTCAGGAGTACAATTAGTATGCTCTTTCTCGTGCCGGGGCAGGGGAACGTTTATCAAGAAGGACTCGATATCTTCAAGATATGTGAAGCTGACGACCTTTGCCAGTCTCGAGCGGTTTTTCTTCTTCGAGGCGAAGCAGCACATGTGGCGAGACGTATTTGTATGACATGCACTTGGTGGTATATGCTTGTTCAGAGATCCCAGAGGGCCATGATCTCTGTCTTGCAATCGTCAAGGCCTCGATATGTTGGGGCAGCATAAGTTTGTCATAGCAAGTGTCGCTGAATCGGGCAGAGTGTACGTCAAGGACATGCCTAGGTAGTATTTCCCTTGTCTAGTGACTGTTAGTAACAAGAACATCATATCCAGCCGCAGATTCCTTTTTCTTTTGTCCGCTGCGTATCCCGCCACGACAAGCGTTCTTAGAAGCCGGACCCAACACTTAACCTTGAAGAAAGCTGGTGAGGGTCTCGCGGCGAACCAGACCAAGGTTGTTCTATACATTCCTAGTTAGGATGAATCACCATTTTTGGAGGAAATCTGTCTTACACAACGCTTTTCTCGTCACTGTGCATTTTCCCACGAACTGGTCTGTATTGCTTTGACCAGCTATTAGTTTTTCAACAGTCATCTACCGCCTCAGCCATAAGTATTCAGTTACCAGGTGGGTAGATTGTTGATATTGAGGAACGGTGATGGCTTTTTGCCTTACAAAAAGGATAGATATATCCAGATGTTCAAGGGCCTGCGGTTTCCTAGAGGTTAAGGACATTAATCCGATACCTCCCGCGAGCTAGGATTAACAGTCCAAGAAGATTTTCCTTGGACATATCAAAAAAAAAAAAGTACAATTAAAATAAAAATAGAAATCAACCAGTAGGCATTCCATTGCACCATGCATATTTGTCACACAGGGCCACAGAATTGTATTGTCGGAAAAAAAAAAAAAGGGGATTGATTCCATGATCCAGCGAAGAACCCAATTGTCTGAACATCAGGATAGTAGATGAACCAGCAAAGAGCAGACGGCAGTTATCGCAAAACACGCTCTCTTCGAAAATAATCTCTACTTTCTCGGAATACTGAACATCCGTCCTATATCCCCCCATGAGCCGGGGTCCCAATCACAAAGCTTTATGTGGCACTATTCGGCTGAGATTGGTGCTTTGTACTATATGAGCTGGTTCGTATTGCTCCAACCAATAACCCCTTGAGCTCTGAAACAGCTACCACGAACCCCAGCCACTGATGAGTCTGCAGCTAGCTGTAATAAATTCAATGATGATGCTAAACTGGGGTCTTACGCAAGCCACCCCAACGGTCTTCAATGATGTTTTCCGTCGCAAGCCGGACCATATCGCTCCGAACAACCCATCAGTCCTGTATGTGACCGAGTGGGCAACGCAGGAGAGGCTGTTACGTATCTTGATATAGGGGAGATACGTTCTTGTAACTTAATGTCATCCCATTCAGTCTGAGGTTATGCATAGTACCATTTCCGATTTCTTCCTCATCGCAGCTACCTGTTCCTTCATACGTGCGATGAGTGCACATCGTTTGGTCAATGGCGGTAAAGCTCTCGGATCAGCTCATCACATCCCACTTGCCTTTGCCCTTTGCATTACTCGGTGCCGTTAGTCTCTCTTGAGGAGTGAGTGGTAAAGGCAGGTCATGCGGCCGATATAATGGTGGCAGAAGGCGTGGAATTGTGAGTCCTGCATATAGTTATCTGCGTAGGTAGATAGAGGATCTAGGTAGTAGTGGAAGGCGGCAGCTATCCGGACACTTGATATTGGCCGGATATACCTCTGTAGAAGTAATAGCTCCTTTCTTCATCATGTGAAATCACACTTCGATTTCAGTTTAGGGACATGTTTACCATATCGCGCAATCGATCGATATGGTAACCTTAGCTAGTAGGAGCAGAGCATTCTTCAGAGGATAGATGTTCCGGCAGATCCTTATTGATGATGCTTTGGACGGAGGATAGGATCGGAAGCTGGAGGGTTGTTCCCATATGTCTGAATTCAGCCCTTAGGAATTTGCTCTTGTAGCCTCGTGGTGAAGATGATCCGGGTTGATTTGGTCTACTGTCGAGAGATACTTCGGCGTGGCTAATTCATTAGGGATATTATGTGTCTTAGGGACGGAGAGCCACATTTTTTGGAATTGCTATGTTGGCTTTAGGGTATGTAGTATGTCATTGCCACTACATGCTTGGAATGCGATGTCCATGGGCAGTGACAATGACTATGCTGTAGATTATAGAGATTGATCGAAGCATCTTGAGTGGATATGCATCATATATATGAAGATTTGAGAGTCTGGATTTATTAAGAATATAAATGTTTGCTCATGTTATGATGTGATAAATTCAAATTAGTTTCTGGTCTAATCAAAGCAGATTTGATATGTTTTCTGCATTGTGGTAGAGGAGATGTAGGAAGATCAATCAAGAGGGAACTGGAGAGGCTTTATATAGCTGAATCATACAGGGAATTTACTAGGTGTACAGGGAATTGTGCAATTCCTTTGAAAACATTGAACTTGATAACTTCAAGTATACATGCAATGAATGATTGCGGCGGATGTTCTGCTAAGAATCATTCCCTCGCAGGCTACCTACTATGTGCAATAATCTCACAATTCACAACTTTTCATGATTCACACCTTACAGAATACTTCATCCTCTTCCGGTGAAGAAGCTAGATCGAGCGAGCAACTCAAACCTAGATCTTCTTGCTGGAGCTGTACTTGGGCGGGTACTTGATGCCAGAGTCCTTGCAGTTGGAGTCCTCGACTGGTACAATAAATCAGTTTGTGTCTTATATTCCAATTGAATATAACTTACGTCTCTCAGAAGCAACGTAGGTGCCGCCGATGGCGCTGCCCTTGACGTTGAAGTAGTAGTAGAGCTGGGACAGAGCACCGTCCTCGCACCCGACATACGGGGGGTAGCCATCGTGGATCGCGGCGAGAGCATCCTCAATGTCGCTCAGCTTGTAGGTGGCATCCTCGGAGGGAGTAATTCCAGCGTCGGAAAGAGCCTGCTGCTGTCAGTATATATATAAAACACAGGAAGTTGTTTGCATACGGTGTAGGAATCCAAGGTCTTGAAGAGGTCAACGACCTGCTGGAAAAAGTCACCAACTTCCTCCTGAGCGTAGTAGTCGGTGTAGCAGCTGGGCTCAATGGTGTTGATGCAAGTTCCTAGAAAGTCAATATGCCAGTTCCGAAAATCAAATTGATCAGACGTACCGTGCTTGTTCCATTCGTGCTCCCAGAAAGACTCGTCCTCATCAGCGCCTTCGTAGTCGGGCCAGTATTCCTTCATGTAGGACAGGAGCTCGGTGCGATTCTGCGCTTCGAGGATGGAAGTGATGTTGCTGTACTCGCGAGAGTCGTCGCAGTACTCCTGGTAGGTGCCATCGCAGTTATCGGGCCTAGAGAGTTTCTATTAGCGGTGATACAGAAATCCGAAGTGTCAGTCCTACCAAAGTCCGTGGATGGTCCAAGAGTCGCTCGGGCCATCGGAAGGGTCGTAGTCCCAGAATTGAGTCTGGAGAAGGGAGCCTCCAGGAGAGTTGAAGCAGCAAGAAGCTTCGTTGTCGGTCTGGCAGCTCAGAGGGCTGTCAGAAGAGCAAGTGTCAATGGTAGCCAGCGCACCAGAGCTGAGCTGCATTGCGCCCAGGGCGAGCATGCCAACAGAAGGAAGGAAAGACATTATGCGTAATAACCGATCGTTAACTTCGTGAGGGAGAACTCAATGGCTGAATGACAATCGGGAATGCCGGGTGCAATTGACCCAATTTATACCTTGGTAGCGTGTAACGCCAGTTACTTGCCCATACTCCGCGTCGGTTGTCCGACTAGCGACCAGGCCACCGCATGTGGGTAGCGGGGAAATCAGCCACCGAAAGTTGAAGATAGCACATGCCCTGATAAGGACGAGCTGATTTGCCGCAATCGATCAGAAAAGCAGCCTTAGGATAGCGGAGGACGCCGTGAGGACCCGCACCTCCGCTGACGATGAGCTGCCGAATTGGCCAATTGACCGGTGTAGCGGTGGTCTGCAGTCGGTCTGGAGGATGAGCCGTCGGGGCGCCATCGGAGGTTAGGCCGAAGAGTGGGTAGAGCGAGCAGACCAGCCAAATTAACCAAGAGCGAGGCAATCAGCTCTCAAGCTGCGTATCAGAAGTTGTTCTTGCTTTTGAGTTGAGAAGAACTTTGATTCGCTCTGGGCGGAGTGATCTGCAGGACCGGAGGATGGATTAATTTCAGGAACCGGGCAACCCGTCAGCAATGGGCGAATGGCATCGCCAGAGCTGGTGTTGGCTGATGTTGACGACCAGAATTAGAGGCAAGCCAACTCATGAAGAAATAATGGATGAAGGAGGAACAGGAAAGAATGTCCGACCTGTTCCTGCAGCAGCTATTATCCGACACAAGCCGGGTGTAAAGGAGGGGGGATAGTAGAGGTAGTGAAGTTTGTGGTTCGAGGTTCGTGTCACCAGCAATTTCGCAGATTTCCAGAGACGAGTACCAAGAGATAGCATCCCAGTCGGTTGTTCAAGCACTTGATTAGAGATATTATCATTGAAGGCGAAGGATGTCTTGGCTCATGCTATCTACTCCTTAGTTAGTCTAACGAGCACTAATGGCTTGACAGTTGACAAGATAACGCAAAATGCGTATTTATCACGAATGCAATTTCGTACGACTGTCAATGCATAGCATCAATCACTTCAGAATAAGCAGTTCTCAATCCAAACACTGAATGTTGAGATTAAACAACGATGGAAAACAAGCGAAGAAGAGAGATAACCGCTCATACCGACAAGCAAAGACAAACTTGTAGCCTGAGGTATCAACACCATACCCGATTAGGTCAACATCGCGCCCTTTTCCCAATCGGGATTGACATCCTTGAGTCAAGAAACTGAAGCAACTATATCAGCCTTCTTTCTCATAAAAAATCCAGCATAATTCGACGAGTACATATACACTCAAACCTATAAATATACTATACACTACGCACAATCCTATCATCCAGTCCAGCCAGCTCGCAGGAATAGGAACATCAAGAAGAACTACTAAACTTCATCCAACCCACCCCGCAAAATCCTTTCAAACCAACAACCCCCAAAGAACATCTCCAAACATCTACATCTACATCTACACCCAAGAAAAAAAGGATCAAAATGCCCCCAACCTACCAAATAATCCCCGCCACAACCACCCACCACCTCCTCGGCGCCCGTACCCTCTTCACAGCCTACGCCGCCTGGCTGAACATCGACCTAACATTCCAAAACTTCCAGGCCGAGCTATCCTCTCTCCCCGGGAAATACAGTCCCCAGGAAGGTGGTGACCTTCTCCTCGCATACAGCAGCAGCGCAGACCCCTCCTCCTCTCCGCTGGGCTGCGTGGCTCTTCGTCCGCTCCCAGTCAAGGACGATGAGCGACAGCAACTCTGCGAGGTCAAGCGGCTGTATGTTGCGCCTGAAGCGCGGAAGATGGGACTGGGGCGGGCGTTAGTGAGTGCAATTGTGACGAGTGCGAGGGAATTAGGGTATCGGGGGATGAGACTCGATACGTTGCGGAGTATGGAAGGGCCGATTCGCCTGTATCGGAGTCTGGGGTTTGTGGAGGTTGGGCCGTATTATGAGACGCCTTTGGTGGAGGAGACGGTGTTTTTGGGGTTGGATTTTGGGGAGGTGTAGATTCTTATTTTTTATTCTACTGTACAGGTGGGTTACTGGGGGAGGATGGGAGGGGATTGGTTTCTTTTGCACGTCTAATTTGAGCAAGTGGGAAAAAGAAGGTTGGTTGGGGTATAGACTTGATTAAGAGAAAAATTATTTGTGTATATATATTCATTTCTTCGAAACTAGACATAACTAAACAAACAATAGAAGCATGTCTCTTAAACTCAGACTGTTGAGCTTGATAATTTTTTGTTGCACTCAGCGCAGATCATGTCTGCATCATGCCAAAAGAAGGAAAGTCATCATAGTAGAAGAGACAATGCGAATCGAAGCAAAAAAGATAACCGGATAAAATTTCAAAGTTTTTGTCAGAAAGCTTGCCCATAACCAAGCTGTTAGCTATGCGCTTCCAAGAATTCCTCCTCGCATATCAAGGTCGGCGTATACTATATCCGCAGATCATCAGGTCCCAAGCCTGTTCAAGAAACATCATCTTCCAAGGCATTTTGGGTTGCCAGCCACCTCGATTTGTTGAGGAACGGCATCTGCATGAGGAGGGAAGAGAAACGGTGAAGATTTTTTGCTGGTGGGGAGTATTTATGTGGTGATATTATATAAGCAGGAATAGATGGGTCGTGAATTGGTTAGTAAGGTTATTTGTGCAGTCATAGTTGTGCGCTGCCTGCCTCGCCGCGTAGTGTGCCAGGCCAAACCAGTGGATTGAAGGACCAGAGTCAAGCGATCGCTCGAGTTACCTTCTTAACAATGATGAATAATGGAGTTGTTTTGGATTTACTGTCCCCTCAGCTGAGAGAATGCCCCACGCAAGTTGAACTATTGTGGCGGAGTATACTGTGTGCTCCAGGCCAAAAGGTCTGTGCCCGGCGTGTGCAACCAGAACCCGGCCCATGAGGATCCGAACATGGAATATTTTCCGCGGAAACAATCTCCTTATTGCCATGCTAAGGAGATAGATTCATGCAAGCACTGATCAATAGGAGCAATCCACATGTGCCATCACATACAGACAATAGTGTAACCGTTTCAGTGGGTGTCAAAAGTTTATTTGGGTCATTCTGGAAGAAGTTAGGGAATGGGACGATCCCGGGATCCCAGCGATGTGTGGCTGCGTACCGGGGTCGCACATACTATGAATGCCATTGTGTAAATTTAGACGTGTTGTGCTGGGCTGCTAGAAAGACGGGCATGCAGGCTTGAGAGAATTAACTAACTATTTTTGATTCAGAAGCCGGTGAGAGACTCAGACGATTGGCCTGTAGGTGTTGTACTTGTAGCACCTATGGACCTGATCACACAATACGTGGTGATTGTCGGAAGTATTATGCTTACCTGGGTTTACAGATTGAAAGCAAGATCTGTAGTTCGTAAGTGTCTGCCTGCATTGCATTAGTGGCATCGGAACTGCTGTCCGCTGTGCTGTTCCAACTTGTAATCTAAGGCTGGGTGGTCACTCGCGGCTCGAGTCCACTCTATTGAGTTGAGAGAGGTCAGGGTGGTATTTGATGGTAGTAGTTAGCATGCACTGCTACTTCGGATGGACTTGCCGGTCGTATTGTTCTGCGGGTGCCTGGACTCGGCACGTTGGGTAGAAGACATGGCGTTTTGAGGCTGAAGTTTCTAGTGAAATGGCATTCGTGGGGGATGTTTGTTTGATCTGCGGATTTTCGAGAGAAAAATGAGGCGCACTGCAAGATAAATGCATGGAATGGAAAGGAGAAGGTACAAGGTAACGCTGCCGTAGAGCATTCATGCCGAGATAAGGCTATAGATGCGTGCCTTTTTTTGGTACTTCGGGACAGCGATCTAGACTGTGAAGTGGTATACCGCAGAGTCTCCTTCTGCGGCGATTCTTCGAGGTCCACAGAGTCGAGAGACGTGTTCACATTCCAGATGCACTCTAGAAGGTCAGTGCGGAGGTAAAGCTTACCGCTGCTGGCGATCGTGCTCAACCAACGAGACAATCGGCAGTCGGGAAATGGAAGGCTGCAAAGACAGAACTCCTAGGCTTGGTCACCGTAGGTTGGCCAACGACGCTACATCTGTTGATTTGTTGGATCCTGTACCAGAATACATCGGCTAGCAGGAATGTAGTACAAGTGCTCAACTGGCCATGCCGGTAGTCCGAGAACGCGTGAGGCGGTCTACGTTCATGCTGCATATCACCAACAGTAAAAACGATTTCCTCTTCCTACTCGCGCGTAGAAACGAAGCCGACAGCTTCTCATAGCAAATGGGTCGGCCAGACGTCCAGATGCACGCTTGTGGGAACCATACACGTAGTTTAGTGTGCGTGTGAAGTATGAGTAACGCAGAGAATAGCTGAGCAAGCCAACCTCGTCTCGCGTTCTGTGCTACAAGTTCCCGCCTTAGCTTGTACTACCTCGGAGTCAAAGACTGTGAGACCCAGTCTGTCCAGGCCGGCTGAACACCAAATGTAAGATTAGTTGAGGTGGAGAAGCTGGAGCAGATCCACCAAGACAATGCAACCTACCTACCTTTGGAGACAGAAGTATCCTGTATGAAAGGAAGATGATTTGATCGAATGCCACTGCAATGTTAATCTTCGCCAACAGCTGACACTGCGACGATGAGTGCTTGGAGGTCATCTAGCCTGATAAGACGGTGGCCTGATCTGGTCCTAGCTCTGGAAACAGCGAAACAGAATTTCCAATGTGGACATACCTGCAAGATCGGCGAAGTAATGATGCTATCGTGTGACGGGGAATGGGCACTCATTTCCTCCGCATGTAAGTCAGTAGGAGAAGGGGAGATCTCGAGACATAACGGGGAAAGCCGTCGATGAGCGGTGAGCCTCATTGAGTTATCCGAGAAGGCTTCAACATCCTGATAACCAACGAAGTATCTACTCCATACCATAGTGGTGGACTAGTCAAGAATAGATGTTGATGATCGAGTCATTCCACGAGAAGGGAAGGGCGGAATGGCGAAGAGGCACAAGTCAAGCTAGAGTACTTCCAACTGACTCACGGGCTTCTTCCTCGTAACCATTCACGGGACCTGGCATGTGGGGAATTATTGTTCCTAAATCCTTAGGCTCAGGTGGCATCCCGGTTGCCGGAATTCCTAGTGGAGAGCAATCCATTCCCATTAATACTAGTACTATTTCCAGGACATGCGTACTAATGAGAAGTACGTGGTTAGTCGAAACTTAGTCGATGATTTACTTCATTGAGCAGCTGAGCTGCTGCTTCAGATTCATGTGGGCATGAGGGGGAAAGATCCATATAGGGTGTCAGTCGATAGATACTAGATCGATGGAGACCGCGAGGAAGCGTCAGCCGTGATCATCCATGGATAAGTTAGATACTACTTACTTACTACTAGTAGTAATTAACTTACTAGATACACACCATGGGGCCAGTTGACCGAGCGGTAGGATTGCCGCCAATCGGGATAATGCCAGACTCCTGGAATGTGGGACTGGGTGGGGGGCAGAAGATCGACGGGGGAAAAGAAGAGACGAAAAGCTAATGCATGTATGTACCTACTTTAGTCCCTAACCACAGCCCGTCTGTCTGACTTGAGATACATCCATCCGCTTCGTTCCCTACTAACTACTACTACTACCAACCAGAAGCGCTCTCTAGAGTCTCTTCCCCCTCCCTCCCCCTCCTCTTTCCCGCTACTACTCGTCCTGTCAGTCCGTGCGAGGGAAACACTAACTTCTAAAAACAGTAAAAGTAAAGTTGTTAGCTGAATTAGTTCATTCGTAATGGTAAATGAGTAATTGTTTCCTTCCCTTTCCCATGCCGCGGCCCCCCCAAACCCCATCCATGGGAGTGAGAGACGGCGCTCCCGGGAAGGAAGTGTGATACGTTCCAGCTCCATCGCACTGTTGGATCTCCAAAGCCACGCTAGGCCTCGTAGCACCATCTGGCTCCCCTCCCGTAAACCTGACCCATCAGATACCCGACAAAAATAGGTCGCTCTGGAAAAGACCAAACCCCCCAGAGAGCGGAACCCCATCAGACCCAACAGAAGACTAGTCTGCGGACTTCCTTGTTTCTTCTTTCTAGGCTTCCCAGTTTATTCCAGAATGGTTCAAGTCATGCAATTGTTTGGATTCATATTACTTGTTAGGTATCTCGTATAGTGTTCAGTAGTGGATGAGACCAATCAGATTGAAAAGAACGCAGTCAGGTCACTCCCATCGTGTACAACCCATTCCCTTCCATGCCGTTTTAGCCTATCCATCTCAACGCATTATTATCCAATGGTAGATTTTGTTTTTAGAAGAAGAAAAAGAAAAGAAAAAAAAAAAAAAAAAAAAAAAACACGAAGCGAAGGCGGATAATTGAAGGACAACAATAAGAAAGTGCCTCTCCAAAGCATAAGAGATTTTGGGGCCCAGATGGGTGGGGAAAAAAATAGAAGATCGTCAAGGAAAACACAAAGGAAAGGTATGC